TATACGATTTAATTTTTCAAGATAATCAAGATCATAGATAAAGGATGTTATTGAAGATAATTTTTATCAATTGAATTTAACTCAAAAATTTATGCTACAAAACTAGCCGATGTTTGACTTCTAGAATATATTTAGAGGAATATCATCAGGATGAGACACACAAGAATATTGAGCAACTAAAAAAAAAATCAATAATAAAGAGTATTGGAAAAATTTTATCCTTTATATAAACGAATAATACATAAAATACTAGTACGATAAAAATATTAGTAATCGATTATGATGGTAATTAAATATATGAAAACATTGATAAATTGATATATCTTTCTTTTCATTTCGAAAAAATTGTTTTGATTTTCATAATATTAACAAAGAAAATTAGTAAAATTGATTTAATACTACATGATAGTGTTGTTTACAGTTTCTAAACTATAGTAAACGCTAAAGATTGAAAGAAATTCTCAAATATGTTTTATGAACTTCTTTTTTAGCCGGTAATAATCGTCGTTTACTTTCGGATCGTTTTCAATTTACTCATTCTAAAATAACCGATGCTCTTACAACTAAAAAATGGAAATTACAAATCAATTATCCTCGAATATCATCAAATAATAAACAAATTCCTTTAAATTTAATTTTAAAATCTCTTAATCCTATACAACCAAATTATGGTAAATTTGAAATTATATGTCAAAAAGAACATCATATTCTTCGACGTTATATTGAATCTATGGAAGATCTTACTGATAATTATACAATAGAATTTTTTACACTTGATGAATTATCAACAAATATTTATTCATATAAACAAAATTTTAATAAAAATAATGGACGACTTGTAACTATTGATTATATTTTATTATCTATACAAATTATTCAACCATTACAAGATTTTAATATATTAAAAAAAATTAAACGTATTAATGAACCAACAATAATTTCATTGAATACTACAGGAAAAATTTCTCATAAAAAAGAAGAAAATTTATTAAAATCACCTAAAGAACAACATACTAAATCTATAATCGTAGATCATAAAAAACTTAAAAGTCCAGTTAGTCAAGAAAATACAATAATAACATCAGATGATACACGAATAGTAAGATACATTATTAATAGAAGAATTATGAGATCATCGAGTTTATGAGACATTCGATGAAAAAAACATTTTTTTTTGTTTTGTTGTGCATTCAATACATCGATGTTTGAAACTAGTCACCTCAAAATTTTAACGTCCGATATCCTTTCTTTTAAAAGTTATTCAATACCGACTACTTACCAGTATCATATCCTTATGCGAAAAAAAAATATCCTGTAAAAGTAATACTCGTTTTTGTTTTCATAGATTATACTAAGAGATAGAGAATTAAAAACTATATTCAATCATACAGATTTTAGAAAACATTTTTTTTCTTATGAAAAATTTATCTCTGGAAGTCTCATGGGGCAAGATATTAATAAAATACAAACGTAGAGAATCACAGGTGAATTTTTTTGCAGGAAAAAATTTTCTCTAGAAAGCATTTAATTCAAATATAATTTTTAACGCTGATTCTGAATGTCATATCCGTTTTGCTTTAAAAATTATGTCATGATAATAAAAATACTTTTTCTCAATTGAAAAATTATCAAAAACCATTATATAACGGAGAGATGTGAACTTTGTTTCGTCTCGAATGTACCATTTTATAGAAAATAAAAAGTTGTATAGCAGATATAAAATTCAGCTTGAAACCAGAGATATCTATGGCAGCATGGCAACGGTAGATTTTTAGTCACGATGGACATCTCTGATGGGCAACTCCATTCCGATATTCTAAAACTCCGAGCTAGAGTCGCTCATCGTTGCTTGGAATTTTTTTGATTTTAAATCCTGACAGGAGATAGATTGTTATCAAATAGACATTTTAGATTCGTTGAAAGAATCATTTTTTTTTTAATACATGTTAGTCTTATAAAACTTGAATTGATCAACACTATATTATATTGTTGAGTTTTTAATTTGAAAGAAATAATATCGGACACTAAAATTTTGGCATTGTTGGTTTTAGACATTGATGCATTAAATGCACAAAAAAAAAACAAAGTTTTTTTTTTTAATCGAGTGCCTTGTATACTCGATATTGTTAAATATTGTTTATTGAGAATTATGTTTTAAATTTCTATTTAGAGAAATCATATTTTACCACCAATACGAATTCCAAATAATTCTCCAATTCGTCTTCGATCATCAGCAAGTGTACAAATATTACCAACTATAAGAGATAATAATATTCAATCATCAAATTTATTTCTATATAAACCAATACAATTAAATAAACAATCATCAACAATTACAAGTGCTAGTACAAAAACATATTCAGATTTAACAGATAATTTTACATTTCTTATAAATTTATTTCGATCAGGTCTTCATTCAGATATAATAATATATTATCATGATCATCAATGGAATTTACATAAAAGTATTCTTTCAATACGTTCAATTTATTTTAATCAATATTTTTTAAATTCAAATATATCAGAATTAAATTTATCCGATGATAATGAAATATTATCATCAATTATATTTGATAAAATGTTTTTATTTCTTTATACTAATCAATATATATTAGAAAAACTTCCTAATTTATCATTATTTGAAACAATTCGTTTATTATTTAATTTATCAATTAAATATGGTATTGATACATTAACATATATTTGTTTACAAGATATGTGTAATACATATAATTTAAATATAAATACTGCTGCATATCTTTTAATTGCATTTCATCAAGCAATGAATGGTCCATATGAAAAATATCATTCAAATGATTATTTAATAAAAATAAAAAATTTAAAACAAATTATTTTACGTTTTATTCAATTACATTCACGTGAAGTTCTTCTTTCATCACAATGGAAATTAATTGAAAAACATTATCCATATCTTGTTCATGATGTTTTAGAATTTGTTGTTTTTGAAAAAATACAAGATAAAAATTAAATACAATATTCACATAATATAAAATGTATTTCTGATTGTCTTACAAGAATATTTCTGGAATAGCTGATGAGAGAATTTTTTGTCAAGTTCTTCTTTCGAAGTTATAACTATTTTAATTGAATTTTAGCTGCTAACAAGGAAAGTTCTTAAATTGATTAAATCATTTTTAAGTTGAGCCTATATGCATTATATAGATCCAAATGAGCTATGAATATCCTGAAAAAGAGTTCATGCTCTTAGTTTTTTGTTGCGGAGGTATTGCACTTTTACAGTATTTTTTAAATGAATATCATAGTAACCGAAAAATTAATTTTCAAATTTCGATTTGGAATTTTATAGAGACAGATATTATTGAACATAAGTTTTTGTGAAAGTTTCAGATCTTGTCATTATTACTATCTTAGGATATAACTATTCTGATACTTCTTTACAAATGTTTCAAGTTGAAATTAGAAAATTAATTTTTCTATTACCATGACATTAAAAAAATATCGTAAAAGTGTAGTATCTTTGTAGTAATAAGTTAAGAATGCGAACTCTTCTCAAGATATTCATAGCTTATTTAGATTAACATTATGCTCATAGTCTCGACTGAAAAGCGATTTATCAGTTGGAGAACTTCTCTCGGAAGATGGTATACACTAGGAGATCGAATCATGGTATTTCGAACTGAAATTTTAAGTTCAAAAGAATAAAACATTCTTGTGAGCTGAAAGTTTCAAAACCTTCTATTAACAAGTAAGTCTGTTAAAACTCGATTGTTTCCATAGATATCTAAAACTATTGATATATAGTATACAAAATAAATAATATTTGTTCTCGGAAAATATTTTTTAACTTGCGATGAAGATGTTGTCAGTTTCAAAAATATTTCATTTGAATTAAGATTTTCAATCAACTGTGAAATCTTTTCTTTCATTAACAAAGAAGGATATATTTTAATAAATATACGAAATATACAAAAAGAAATTATAACAGTGAAAATTATTTTTTAGAAATGAATAATTTATTTACTTGTTATAAAGATTAAAATTCAGTACAATGAATGAATGAAAAATTCATTCCTATCGAATTTGTACAAAGGTGGCATGATATAGAAGATTCTATGACTCAATCAGATGTATTATCATGAACTTTTTAATCATTGCTGATGTCTCATTCTATCAAAATGTAAGAAATATACTGAGTTTGTTGGTGCAACAAGATCATTGAGTCAACCACAGACTGACATCTTTAGCTTAAGATAATTGAACACACCAACGACACAGTAGTGATCGTGGAAAACATCTACGATACCGAGCTCCGGTATGACAAAGTGAAAAATTTCGAATTTGGTAAAGTTCCCTGTTCCAATTTTCTTGAAACCACCAAGCTCTACTGTTTATAAGAAAAGTTTCATTTAGGATTTTTTTATAACTCATAACGGTCTATCTTATGTACAGAATTCGAATTCAGAAACAATTTATTACTTAAAATGACGGATATTATTATATTTCTAGAGTCGACATGTTGCTTGAAATTCTGTTAATATAATTCTTTCTTCTGACAATTTCATTCGCATGTAATATTAATTATGTAAATGAGTAATTGTCTAAAGAATAAAATTTAATTTATATGTTTATTGAAAATACAAAATAATTTAATCTTTGAAAAAACTATATTCACAAAAAAAAACAATATTTAGGAAACAAAAGCCATTTTATTAACACAAAACATATTAAATTCAATCTGTTTTCGACCATCAATTGCTGACTTGTATTTATTTTCTAATTTCTAAGTACTCAAACGATAATCTATCAATTTTTCAACTCTCTGAAATTTTATAAACTTTTTTTCTTTTAGAAAATGCTATAGATACCAACATCACTACTGTTTTGTTTCATAAATTGTTGTTCGTTTCTTCATGAAGTAAAACAAAAAAAAGAAAAATACAGTTTGTTGACATTTGAATGACTAACATATTATTAAAAAGCAAAAGAAAAAAAAAGAAGACAAAACATACATTTTTAAAATGACGACAACCTTGTATTTATTCAACTTCATTCTGATTTTTTTCTTTATAATTCAATTAATATCTAGTTCTTCTACACAACAACGAATCTATTGTATTATTAAAACTTTTGGTGAAAATTTAGCAACACGAGCATTAACTATTCATCAAACATGGGCACGTCGTTGTAATAAACATATATTTTTAACAGCAACTAATCTTACAAAATGGAATAATATATCATTACCTATTTTAAATTTATATGATGTTAGTGATAATTATATTGAATTAAGTATTAAAGTATTTGATGCACTTAATCTTATAATTCAACAATCACAACCATATGATTTTGATTGGTTATTTATAGCTGATGATGATACATATGTTATTATGGAAAATTTACATCAATTACTTTATCATACTAGAAAACCATTAGCATTTGGACATTTATTTACACCAAAAAATGGTGCACCTAGTCATTTAAGTGGTGGTGCTGGTTATGCAATAAATACAGTTGCACTTCAACGAATGTTACCTAATTTACAAACAAGTTGTTCACAATGGTATGTACCTGGAATGGAAGATGTTTATGTAAGTCGATGTTTACAATATTTAAATGTATCTTTAAATGGTGCTATTGATGATTATCATCATCGTTTTTATCCATTAGATTTTCTTACTATGTATAAAATGGATGTTCCAAAATGGTTTTTAGATTATAATACATTAAAATCTTATCAAGGTTTTAATTGTTGTTCATTACAATCGATTAGTTTTCATTATATGACTAGAGAATGGATGAATTTTATTGAATGGGCACGTTATTTACATGACAATGAATAAAAGAAAAAAACAAAAATACTTTTTGTTCAATATTTTTATTAGATGAGTTTTTATTCTAAGAAATTAATATTTGTTGTATATATTCATCTTTAAAATACATTGCTAAAAATTATCGTTTATTAATCGAATTATACTTTTTTTTTCGGAATATAGGTCGTCTTTGGAAAACACGGTGATTCTTATTAAATTATTTAAAACTTAATAGAACAACTGAGGTGTAAAATTTTGACAATTTTATTTCGTATCTCTACTCTAGTTTTTAGTTATCCTTATTGTAAAGAAAGCCTTGGACTTATTAATCGTTTTTGAATCGAGACTATGTAAATCGAGTGCATTCTAATGAACTATGAATACTCTAAAAAGAGTTCGACACCTAAGGTTTTTACTGTAGTGATGCTGTATTTTTACGGTATTTTTTAATTTGAGGCCTTAGTCTTTTTCGAATTTCGACTTAAAACTTTGCATAAAAGACAGGTCTTAAAGAGAATAGTTTATTGTGAAAGCTTCAGGTCTTTTGATTTGTTCCTATCTTAAAGTAAGAACACTGAATCTATCCATGATACGTATATGAGCAATGTAAAAAAAGAAACACTTCTATTACATCTATTTAGGGCATACCAAAAGTTCTGACCACGAGGCTTAAAGGATCTTTTCGGATAAGAAGATCTATTGAGAAATGGAAGACCAAATATCCGATGTTGTAGAGCTTTTTGAGGCGTGTCAAATGGCATAGAGTAAATTCTGTTTACATAAGACTTTAAAGAAACTAGAGTCAATTTACTCATAGACGACCACATATTCACACTCAAGCATGATAAGTTTCTGAATATTGTGGTCCTTAGTATTAGTCGAAAGTATTTGTAAAATATTTTTTTGTCACATACGATTTTGTAGAGTTGTTGACTGGCTATAATTTCATATACGTAACATCTTCGATCATCTTGTAGATGTGAGTATGTAGCCATCTATCGGTAAATTGACTCTAGATTCTTCAAAAGCATATGAAAACAAAATTTACTATATATTATTCGACGCACCTCAAAAAGCTATTTGATTTTTCATTTTTCAATAGGTCCTCTTATCCGAAGAGATCCTTTGAATGCCGTGGCCAGAACTTTTGGTGTGTCCTAAGTATATCTTATGACAGGAACAACTCAAAAGATTTGAAACTTTTACAATAAATTATTCTCGTTAATGCTTATCTCTGTGTAAAGTTTCGAGTCAAAATTCAAAAATCAGTTTTTCCTGGCGTTTCGAAGGAAATCAAAGTATCAGATGAAAAAACTTCGTAAGCATGTAACATATCTGCAACTAGAAAAACTAAATGCTCGAACTCATTTCAGAATACACATAGCTCATTAAGGTCTAAATAATGTACATAGTTTTGATTCAAAAGTGATTGATCAATTGGAAAATCTTCCTTGTTGTTCTTATAAATTCTATAAAATTCTAAATATATACAGATAAGTCTCTTCATCGATATCAATGATGATAATAACGAATAAAAACAAGAAAAAAAAAAGAAATCTGAACATTAAATTGAATTTTATGATAATGTTCGTACTACAAAAAAAAATATTTTTTCGAAGAACTTTTCATATAGATAATGCAAAGACAGGTCACGAGTTTGTGACATCAAATAATGTGAAGCACAGCTAAAACAATGTTTTTTTTTTAACCTAACAATAGAAACTTTGAGAAAAACGACATCTGATATTATCTTCTTTACACAATGTAATAGCAAATACATGTTTATCATTCACTCAACGAATTAATATTTTATAAATGTCTCGCACATTTTATTTTACCGACTAAAAAAAAGCAAATTTCATAAATATATTTGTCTACTAAGAACCAACAAACTAATATATTTAAAATCATCGGAAAATTTCGTATTGATTCATCTTTTGCGTTTGTTTTTTGTGTTTTTCTCGAAAACACTTACATTATTACATTTGCGAGAATAATAAGCACGTGATAAAGAAACAATATGTTTGAATATTTTTCTGTAATACTCTTAGATATTTTTATTGCATACAACGATTAAGCAGAGGGGGGGAGGGGGGGAAGAATAAAAAGAAAAAAACTACTATTTTTTTTCTTCAAGTATTATTTCATAGGTAACACAATCAAATATGTTTTATCGTTTATTTTTCTTTTTTATGATTTTGGATATTTATTCACCAATGTCTATTACTACTATTTTTGTAATCAAAAGTGCTCCGGGTGGGGTCGAGGAGGTGATCCGCATCTTAAACCAATTTGCTTTTTGACCCAAATTTTTATTGCTCGTTTTGCTCACCAATTCTAAAAAAAACAACGTTCAACTTCCTCCCCAATCCTGCCGACCTTAGAGCATCCCTGATTATAATTATGTATTTTTAAGAAAAAATTAACTACTGTAGAATATGATTATGGAATCGTCAGAATATATATTTTAAAGGAATTTTTCTAGGTATTCTTTACTAAGCAATAGAATGGTTAATGCACTATCTTTTACAACTGCGCTATCCCTTTTTGACGACTAAAGTTGCCAACAGTTGGGGATTGACTGTTCGAATCCATTGTAAATTCTATATTACAATAATTGGCCAACAATAAATGAATAGCCAGTACGGCATATAAGATCTCGCTCCATGTAAGTTTGATATTGCCTAAATCAAAATTCCGTCACTCGTCTTGTCCCCTCAGTTGTTGATGCTTTCGTGATGAGAACAATAAAAATTTTGTTTCATTGCACATGTGATACTATATAAATATTTAATATGTGGTGACATCTATGACGAAAATCTCCGAATCGGCTTCTATTGGATACAGCAACCCAAACTCATGGCCATTATTGATTGGATGAAAGGTATTTACGAAGCGATGATGTTCTTTTTCATCACTCTATTTTGCACTTTAAATAAGCACTCACACCGTCATAGTATATCTATATAAAAAAAATACGAATAGTCTTATATCATACAACATTAATTGTTATATTCATTTGAATAATATAATCATTTATTTTTTAAGATTATTTCGAGTCAACACAACTAAAACATTTGTATTATTCTTTTTTTCTTTTCATTACAATTCCATTTATAGTATAAGTAATTGTAAATGAGTTTTATTGTTGTCGATATGTCTATGTATGTCTTTTGATAGATAATGGATGGAGCAGCTGGTAATCCAGGTAATGGTGGATTTGATCCATGTGAATGCATTGTAAGAATTTAAAAGTTTTGTTTTTTTCCTCAAATTTTCTTTTTTGTTCGTCTAATTAATTAGAATATGCTTCAAATGCATCATGAACGTGCTATGAATCGTTTAACTGATATGCTTCGTAATGCACAAACAACATGTACGGATACAGAATGTTTTACTGGTCCATGTAAGAATTGATATTGTGAATTTTTTTTTATTCGGAAAATATTCTTTTTATTTAGTACCAGGTCTACCAAATAATGGTGGTGGTAATACAGGAATGACAAATGTATATTTGATGTTAGCTATATGGTTTGCAATTGCTCTATTGCTTTTTCTCTTTCGACCACGTGCTCTTCGAAATAATCGTAATAATCTTGGCAAACCAAGTAATCAAGTAAGAATTGACATGTTTATTTATTTCAAATTTTGTTTTCTTTTTTCCTAGGGCCCACCTCCTAATGGCCAAGATCCACCAGGACCAGAAGTACAATAGATAATTTAATGGTCAATAAAAATGTAATATATATATTTTTTCCAGCATCATTTTGTTTTCTTTTTTTTTTTTTTTTGTAAATTTAAATCGACGGGATAAAATATATTTGTTTTATTTGTACACTTAATCTGCGCTTATTTTTTGAATTAACTAAATACTAGAAAATCAAGTACTATAAATTGTATCTATCTATCTATATATAAATATATTCAAATTGCTCATAAACAAGCTTTATTAAAGTGTGATAAAAAAAAAAAGAGATTGACCTAGGGTAAACACGTTGTTTTTTGTTTTTTATGTACATTTATTTATTTATTATTTTCTTTTATGTAATTATTTTATTCTCGTTTACGAACAGTGGGTTGTATGATGAGATTCTACGATCTCTTTTTTTCTTTTATTCTCAACTAAATAAATTATCATTTAAATGTATATATACATATATGTGTGTGTGTATGATGAATGTAAATAACCATTGAAAGTCAAGGATTTAACAAAAAAACAAAATGATGTTATCGATTTTGCGTAACTATTCTATCTATCATCAAACGCCTTTGAAAAATAACAGTCATCTGTATATGGGGGATGTATACTTATTATCCTGACGTTAGAAAATTTGCGTAGAAGAATAAATGACGTGGATGTCTTCCTTCCTTCCTTCTGTTTATAATCGTTTTCAACGACAGAAGAACTACAAGGAGAAAAAAAGGGAAATATACAATTTTTGCCGATATATACATTATGTTTGGGTGTTTTTTTTCTTGCTTAACATATCAGGAAAAAAATGTGGAAAATACAATGTATAAATCTGTTTCTTTTCTTCGTATTGATAATTGTTATTTTATGAGTTGTCGCAAGAAAAAAAAAAGAAAAACAAGACAGTTATAGTGACAAAGATTGCCAAGTGCCTACGCCTTTCCAATAACAAACGATATATACGATTCCTTCCTATCTATTTCTCATACATTGCACAGCTTGAATCATATTTAACTTGATCAGAGTAAAACTTCTGTAAGTTTCATTTTTTATTTTCACAGTAGTTTGAAAAGAATAATGAAATCAACAAATAGATCATCGATATTTTTTTAAAAATTATTTTAGTATAAATTTAGATTCATTAGAATTAGAATTTAATCATTCGTAGCTCTTACATTCCATTTCTTTCCTTTCTTGTTTCTTATTATATACATTACTCGATGGTTGTTTATCCCTGGAGTGTTATCCTTTCAATCTAACTCAATAATTGAGTTGATATAGTTCCAATTATCCAGATCATTTGCGCTGTTGATTTCAAAGTACTAAATAAAGGAAATTG